TCAGCTCTTCGAGTATCTCAAGAAAAAGTTCATGATCTTATTATGCGAGACCATGAAAAGACGTCAAAATACCAGAACAGAACGAGAACAGAGCTTACTAATAGACTTATTATATAATACTAAAGAAATAAAGGAGTTTTTATTCTAACTTTGGTATTTTTGGGAAGAACTGATCTGGATCATATTTGTCAACCACAGGTTTTGGTATCAAAAGTCTCTCTGGTTCTTGGACGGCTGGTACTGGAAATGGTTCCTTTGGTTTCCTAGCTTTTGGGAGATCTAAAAATTTTCTTGGTCTCTTTCTTTTGTGTAAGTGTTGTCCATTTTTATCGACAACGAATGTGAGCTTTCCGTCGTCAAAGATGAATGTCGTCGCTTCTTCAGTTCCCTCATCAACTATTATCTTCTTGATCTTTCTCTTCTCCATTAACAGAAAAAGTGACATATATTACTTCATTATTTTTCTGAGTGTTAGGATTAATTAAACCTCTATCTATAACATGCTTTCTCATAGGAAATTTCTCTCCATATCTTTTTGTCAATATCTCTATAAGTTCTTCTGTATAAGATTTATCACTACTGAAGTAAATAGATGGATAATTAAGGACATCAAAGGTTTCTACAGTATCTTTAAGAGTCCATTCATCTCCATACTGTATAGAATAAGTATGGAAGTATGGAGGATCACATATAAAGAAAACATTGGGAAGATCTTTATACTCATTGAAGAGTATTCTCCAATCTTTATGAACAATAGTTAAACCTTCAAGATAGTCATCTATGTTTTCACCAAATAAGTTAGTATATCTGAGGTATAACACTTTCTTCATTAATGTGTCAAGATCATAGTATTTGTATGCTCCAGAATAGAGAAGACGTGAACATAATGTATCCCAGTCTATGTATGGAGCTTTACTTATAACTTCTCTGACGATCTCTTTCTGATCAGTAGGAATTTTCTCATCTGGCTTAACATTTATTCTCTCCTTAAGTTCCTTAAGTATTTCATTCGTGTCATGAATGTGTTTCAGTCTATCAACGTAGTTATCATAGTCGTTAGCTATGATCGTTGCTTTTGGGAACATAATATGCAACAGATGAGAGATATAGAGAGAACCACCAAATAGGTCAACGAAGACATAATCCCCTTTGATGTCTTTGAGTATGTCGATAAGATCTTTCCTGATCTTCGACTTATTACCTATGAAAGGTAAAGGAGGTTTGGTAAAAATCATTTATATGGTAATAAAAATAAGTGTTTACTTGAGACAATAACCTCTGTTGAGTTTGTAGAACAAGATCAGAAGTACGATCAAGTTCAAAACAACACAAATGGCTAGGATTGCGTTACCAACAATCTTTGTCTTTTCCCAGCAAGACTTCTTCTTTGGTTCATGTGCTGCTTCGACATCACTGTATGGCTCGGACATTAACTTAAAAAGTGTCATGACCACTTCATTTTTGATGAAGTCAACAGCTTATGTCCACTTCCTCCCACAAGCACTTGAGGGACAAGAGAAGGTCATCATTGACTACCTTCAAGCCACTGAGAAGCTCCAAAAGCTTCAAGATCTCCGCGAAGAGTTCAAGTCCCGCTTGAAACAGGAGAACTTACTGCAGGAGTACATGCTCATCCTTTATACACTCATTGATGGCTCCCATTTACCATCAGAGTACACTGCAGTTCTTGATGCACTCAAAGATCTTCGCGAACACCAGCCGATCGGTAAAGAAGCCTTCGAGCTCACCATTGAGCAAGCCATCTTCGCCAAGCACAATGCAAAGAAGCAGATGCTCGAAGCTCTTGACAAGATCAAAAAGTACGTCGAAAAGTACTAAAAATAATTACTTGAGTAAACGATAAGTTTTATTCATTGTTTCTCTTTTCAAGATATTCTTTCATCTTGACGTTATATTTTCCTAACTCATACAAGAACGTGTAGTATGAAACTTCAACCTCACGATGCTTTTCATACCATTTCATTATGAACATGGTAAGAATTGCTTCTTCGGGATTTGAGAAGGGATCTTCTTCACCAAATACGTTGTGATGAACTCTCATTGCTTTACCTACAGATATTGGTTCATCTTCCTCAGCAATTAGGTCAAAGAACCTTTGTAGTCTTTGGCTCATTGGAAATGTCACTTTTCGGTTAAACGATCACATACTTAAGACATAAATTATACCTACTTATTAACTCAGTATATTGTGCATTATATGCATACTTAAACTCTTGAGCAATATTGTTCTCATCAATGATTCTGATCTGAGCTATTTTTGAGAAAGGTGGTGGAATACCACAACATGTGATGTCTGGGTCCAGTAGGTCTATTTCACACTTGAACCCAGTCATTCTGTGAACAACTTCTTCCAAGTCTGGCTTAGGTAGTAAGATCTGATCTTTGCTCACTAAGTTAGAAAAGAGCTCTTTGTCTTGGTCTAGAAGTATCTTCTGGTATATACTAAGTAAATACTCTTCTACACCAATCCTCGATGAAGTCTCCACAGATCTCGATGAGGTCAGGTTGGAAGTTAATGGACTTAAAGGAGGAGGATACATTGGTGCTTCTGAGTTCGTAGTTGTTTCCTCTTTTTTTATCTCTGTTGGAGCATCACTTACTGTACCAGATGGATAGTTCTTTATCACAATGTTATTAGTTGTTCTTGAATCAACATTGCTTGTTGGTTCAATTGGAAGATTAGCTGCACCATAAAGAATTGACTTCGATCTCATTTGTTATGAGTAAAAATTGTTTTATTCTCATATAAATGACGAACATTAACCCAGAGAACAACACAGAATATACTGCAACAGGAGTTGTTTACAATGATCTAGATCAGATCGTCCAACTCAAAGCCCCAAGAGGAAGGAATTTAATAAGACAACCTCCACCAAAGATATATGTTGATGATGGTAGTAATGGGTTCAACTTAGTGTATCATTACTCATATCCTCAATATGCAAAAATTGGGTCTACCCCAAACGTGACAAACCATTATATGAACCTTTATGATGAAGCAAGGTTTCATGCACCAACGAAGAAAGAACCTGATGCATCAAGATTACATGAATTCGCAGACCATGATGGTTATAGCGATTACTCAATGCCTGTAAGACTTTAACGTTAATAAAAAAATGACTGTTGGTAAACAAGAAAAAACTTTAATACAAGAGGATTTGATGCTACCAATATATTCAACTGATATGGGAGCTTATCAATTCGATACATTTGAGAATCCTGGTGGAACACCACCATATTTTCTTTTGTTCATCAATGTAAACAGTAGAAAAGGTTATGCGTTCCCAATGAGTGAAAAGAACTCAAACAATGTTCTAAGTGCAATGCAGAAGTTCATTTCACAAGCTACAGGTGAAATGAAGCCTACAATACTTACTAGTGATGAAGACCCAGCTTATACGACACAAAATGTTCGAGATCTGTTGGTCAGTCATAACATTGAGCACATGACGACACAGAAATACAATCATAACATACTAGGTATTATTAATAGGTTCTGTAGAACTATTAGAACTATGTTACATATGAAGTTAAACCTCAAAGAAGGTGATAAAACACCACCTTTCACTGCAGATACAATGAGACAAATTATTAATGACTACAACACTGAATATCATTCAAGCACACAACAAAAGCCTGATGATTTCACAGAAAAGGATAATGAGGAATATATAAAGAAGCAAAGATTGAAAGAAGAGTATGTCAGAAAAAATAACCTTTATAACTTAAGACCTGGTCAAAAAGTTCAAGTCATAGTTGAACCAAGAACATGGGGTAAAGGTAACCAACAAAGAAGACATCTTGATCCTTCTTATTATACAGTTGATTCAGTTGATACAAGTGCATACTTGTTAAGAGCAAAAGATGGAAGTGTTGCAAGATATCCACGTTATCAGATATGGACAAAAATAGAGCATGGATTAAAGCAAGGAGAAACTTTAGATCAAGGAAGACACGGTGCTGTTAAAAGTATTGATGGTCATGAACTTGTCGGTAATGATGTAAAGTATGATGTTACGTTTGAGAACGAAAATACAGGAAAAGTGACAGGTAGAGGTATGCGTGAAGGTAATCCAAACAGGTTGTCACAAATGGAAGTACAGTATTGGAGGAAAAATATTAATGAAGGTCATGTTAAAGATATGCCTAGTTTTCTTGAGAAGTATCGTGGGTTTCGAGTTTAGCTTGTAAGTCCTTTATTTTTGTTTCATACAATGAGATCTTCCTTCTGATCTGTTCATCATTGAGAGGTTGCTTGACTTTACGGAACTGTACACGTCCGTCTTTCATTGTATGTACATAATATCCATCAGGAACCTTACCATCTTTTATATATTCAGTTAACCACTTTTGTTTAGTTGATGCTTTAATGACTTGACTCATTTCTTACTGGATAAATTTTTATGTTTTTTATCTTTTGACGATTTTTTCTTATCCTTATCTTTCTTCTTGTCCTTCCTTCTTTGATTTATCCTTCTTCTTGTCCTTGTCCTTCTTGGACTTCTCTGCTGCAGGTGGTGTTGGATTCTGTTTGACTTTAGCACTTGGGTCAGGACCTTGTCTTTGAGACTTAGATATAGATTGTTTAGGAGCTGCTGCTTGTTTAGTTGCTTCAGCTTGTTGTTTAGCTAATTCAGCAGCTTGTTTATCATTCTCTTCTATTTCCTTTGCACCAGTTGCGACTTCATTCTTGAACTTTTGGAGATTCTCAGCAGCATCCATTACCTTATTCGCTCCTTTAAACAATCCATAAAATTTCTGCCATGGTGATACTGAAGGTATATTTCCACCAATTGCTGGAGGAACTGATGCTTCAGGAGTTGGAGATGGTGTTTTGTCTGAATTGAGATGCTTTTCTGCTTCAAGAACTTGTGTAGTATTTTTCTCCAGGTATGCTTTTGCAACCTCCTTAACTTCTGGACGTTCATTATTTACATCCTGTCTTGGTGTTGATGTTTCAGTAGCGTTTTCCTGAGTTACATTAACAACAGGTTGCTCAACTGCTGAAACATTAGCTGCTTCAGTAATGTTATGAGTAGTTGAAACATTTCCTGATATACCTTCTCCTGTTGGAACTCTTGGAGCAATTGTTGTGATGTTCGCCATTGCAGGAGTTGGAGTAGGAGTGTCATCAATCTTTCTGTCAGCTTTCGTCGTTTGCGTTGTAGTATTTGTTGTTTCATTACCATATTTTGATCTTAGTCTGGTAAGCTCTAACTTCATATGTTCTTCAGGATATGCATACTTATTATATTCACCCTTAATATTCTTTTTCCATTCATCGTATTTATCTTCTGCTGATTTCTTAATTGATGCTAGTCCGTTTACAGCCAATTCATCAGTACCGTTATCAGTAGTCTGGTTATATAAAAGATTAGCAGCTGATCTAATTGTGTAATCCGTAAGATTACCAAAACGCTCTATTGTACCTAATGTTGTGTTCTTCAGTTCCTTTCCAATTCCTTGTGCAGCATCTTTGACTAAATCAGCACCCCATGCACCAAATTGTCTCACAGGAGCCGCTATTGATGGTGAAGGAGATGGAGATGGCGATGGTGTTGCTGCTTTCGCCTTTCTATCAGCTTCTTCCTTAGCCTTTCTATCTGCTTCTTCTTTCGCCTTTCTATCTGCTTCTTCCTTAGCCTTACGAGCTTTTTCTTTCTTCTTAAGTTCCTCTAGTTCTTTACGTTCAGCTTCTTCTTTCGCCTTTCGTTCAGCTTCTTCCTTAGCCTTACGAGCTTTTTCTTTCTTCTTAAGCTCCTCTAGTTCTTTACGTTCAGCTTCTTCTTTCGCCTTTCGTTCAGCTTCTTCCTTAGCCTTACGAGCTTTTTCTTTCTTCTTAAGCTCCTCTAGTTCTTTACGTTCAGCTTCTTCTTTCGCCTTTCGTTCAGCTTCTTCCTTAGCCTTACGAGCTTTTTCTTTCTTCTTAAGCTCCTCTAGTTCTTTACGTTCAGCTTCTTCTTTCGCCTTTCGTTCAGCTTCTTCCTTAGCCTTACGAGCTTTTTCTTCATAATATTTTGTATACTTATCATCAGCCCAATTACCAAGTGATTTGGCACCTGTTAGTATTCCATTTGCGGTTGATGTTGCTGTTCTTCCGAGCCATCCCCCTACCGCTGAAGCACCATTGCCAATAGCACTACCAGCATTTAAAATTCCACGACCAATCCATATCCCTGGTTTTGCCTTTGTATTAAGAGTAAGAAATTCTTCCTTCCTATCTTCAGGTGTAGGATTTGTAACAGTTCTTACAGTATCAACAACAGTGTCAACACTGGTTCCAATAGCACTACCAACAGCTGTTGCACCAGTTAGAATACCATGGGTAACTAAATCAGTAGCTCTTGAGACAACATTATCACTCGAGCTTTCTCTGCTTGGATAGTTTGATCCTTTTGTAAGTTCCTGGACACCTCTATTTGAAGCTTCTCCTTCAACTATTTTCTTCTCTTCTTGTGCTTGTTCTCTGGCAACACTCAATGCACGTTCTTGTCTTTGAAATGTTGTCTTTCTTTAACATGTACCACCAAGTGTCTGTGGTGGTGTGTTTTTATCTAGTGCAGCATCAATTGCAGCCTTTTCTTTTCGCTTTTCTTCGTCTAACCAATTTTGAATAGATTCTGCATCAGTTGGTTCAGCTGGAGTTGGAGACGGTGTTGGAGCTTTAGTTGGTGTTGGAGACGGTGTCGGAGCTTTAGTCGGAGTTGGAGATGGAGTAGGTGCTTTTGTAGGTGTCGGTGATGGAGTTGGAGATGGAGTTGGAGGTACTGTTGGTTCTGGAGTTGGTTCAACAGTCGGTGAAGGTGTTGGCGCCTTTGTGATTCTTGGAGTTGGCTCTGGTGTTCTAATAGGGGAAGCAGTTGGTGTATTAGCTCTTTTAAGAACCTGTGATCTTTCCGCTTGATTTGAATCAGATACTGGGTTAGTTGTACTAGGATGTGATACAGGAGTTATTTTTGGTGTAGGTGTTGGTTTATTTAATGTTATACCATGACTACTCGACATTGGTGGAGGACCTGCGTGAGCAGTTGGTGTCAGAGTTGGCGTTGGAGCTACTGTAGGAGTTGGCGTTGGAGCTACTGTTGGTTCAGGAGTGGGAGATGGAGTTGGAGGTACTGTAGGAGTAGGTGTAGGAGTTGGTGTTGGAGTCGACATTTGTTTTAACCTCTCATTATACCAATTCTCCAAATAATAAGCCTCACCCATTAAGTTTCTCTGTCTTTTGTTTATAGAAAATTCACCTAACAGTAATTCATCATGAATCATTTTCTGCAGCTTTGTCGTGTTTTCTACTTCCTTTATTAGAACGCTCGATGTATTCGCCAATCCTCTATATTCCTTAATCATCTTATCTAGTTTGTTCATATTTGGTACTTCCTTTTTCTTCTCAGCGTTAATCTCATTAGATCGTTTCTCCAATTCTTCAACTACTTTGTAAAGCTTATTTATCTTGACATGTGATTCCTTTACTTCTCCAGTCCTTGGATCCTTAGGTTCCTTGTATTTAGCTAATTTCGTCTCTATATATCTTCGTTTAGCGTCATATCCAGGATCACTGGTTCGTAAAGGATGCGAAGGTGGACGAAAATAAGGTATGTAGAAATCTGGATCATCATTAATAGAAGAACGTGCTTTAAAGTTACGAACCGCGTCTGTAAAAGGGTCTCTACCACGTGCTGTATATGTTGATGTAATCAAAAAGCCTTCTCTTCTCATTGGGAAATTAATACGACCTTTTTGAACATATTCTTTCTCAAAGTATTGCCTAGCATTGTAATCAAAAGCAAGATCATTATATATATCGCGCAAAAAATCAAATGTATGCTGCTTGAACTTTTGATCGCTAATTATGGTACGAATTATCGGACGTTCATTCTCCCATTTCTTAACTCGTTCATCAATGAGTTTCCTCTCTTGTTCACTCATTTAAACCTCATAAAAATATATTATCTGCGTATAGTGCCACTAATAGCATTAATCCATGGCATGTCTGATAGTACACGTACTGACTGAACTAATGGCTTATGATTGTTCCAAATAGCTCCTCCAATGTATGCGTTATACTTATTGTTGTCAATAGTTTGTTGAGGTTGAACTATAGGTGTTTCAACAGGCTTGTCTCTACTGAAGTCACCACCAAGAGCTTTATTGAATGCTTTAAGATTCTTCGTTAATGCATTATCTTCACCTAATGTAGTTTTTGCAATTCTTTCACCAAGACTACCGATAACACCACCGACTTGACCAACTTGAGGGAAAAGTTTGTTAGCAATGTTAAATCCAGCACCTATTACAAGACCAGGATTTTTTTTCACCATACCCCATCCAGCTTTAACATAATCGCCAAAACCCATTTATTTCTTCTTAAAATAATGTCATCTTTTGTTGCTTAACTTCTTTAAAGTCCGTCTTTCCTGCAACTATATGAACTTCCATATATGAACGAGGTGTTGGTAGCTCTTTGTATTTGTTCCATAACTCTTCCCAATCTTCTGTTGCTCCTGACTGTTCAATCATTGACTGAAAGTCTCTCATAGAATAACCTTGAAAGATAACGAAGTCAGTGCATAGTCTCTTAATGTTTAAACATATATGTCTCCATGTTTGACACATGATGACAACAGTATAGTTATAATGTCTGACCTTAGTGATGAAGTTCGCTAATGGTGAACGTGGGTCATTCAATAAGTCATGACCACCATAATCGTCTAACACTAATAGAGAATTACTGGGATACTTTGTGAAAGGATATTTGTTCAACTTCTTTACAACATATATTGCAATCTTCTTATACTCAAACTTTCCATCAGGTTTCCTTAGTTGATGCTTTGTTAAGATGTGTTCCATCTCCTCTGAAATTTTTTCGAACTTACTTTGAACGAACTCAACAATAGCGTAATACTTTGCTTTCATCTTAACGTTCTTCATTAAATAAGGCATAAGTTCTTTATCATCCTTTTTCAGTACTGGTGCTTTAACTTGACTCATAAATGTCTTCGCTGTTTTATCCATTGTTCCTGATGTTGCTGAGATAACTATTGAGTCATAATATGGAGTATTAGTGAAGCGGTCTGTTATCATTATATGACGAATAACACCATATGTCTTACCTGAACCCATCTTACCGCAGTAGAAATAAACACCATTAGTACAAAATGGATAATCATCAGAAAATGGCATAATGAGTGCATTGTTTAGTTCTTTACTATTCTTACGTGCTCCATCATGAAGAATCTTATCTACTTGATTAATAACTTTCTCCATCTTTTAGTTACATATAAAATGTCTAAATATGATGGATTATACTATGAACATGTTATGAATGATGGCACGATAAGTGGTAATACAGTCTCATATAAATTACCGAGAGACTTCATTGAATATCCTGCGTCAAAAGCTCTTGAGATAAGAAAGATAAGTCTTGAGCATCCAGACTTTGAGTTTCTTGCTATTCCATTAGAAATGACAGATTCATCAAAATCAGTGAAAAAAAGGTTTGACATGAGATATTACATAAAACCCAACATGACTACACAGGAGTTGAATGAAGGTCTTATGGAAAAAATGACTGAGGCAAGTAGAGAATTTGTTGATTGTTACTATGATTCAAATGAAAATAAATTGAATGTATTAAGAAAAGGTACATCACCAATCATAACATTACCTTCATACAGTAGTATAGAAAAAAATGCCTTGAATTATAAATATGACATGTCCCTAGGAGATGTGTTGGATTTCATCACTGCGTTATTAGAAACCACTGAAACAGACACAACATCAAGAAAACCAGAGCTTGTTTGGGAAGATGACCATGGTAGAACATTCACGCAAAAAGTAATTCCATCGAAAGCAAAATTTTTAGACTTATGGGAAAAAAAATATATCTCGCGAATGCATGTATATTATAGTTTTACCATAGCAGATTTCACTGACGAAAATGATAAAGATAAAAAAACATATAAGTACTTTGATGAGCTTTTCATAACTATAGCGAATATCAAGTTTATCCTTGAGCGAAAGGGCAAACCAACATATAAATTTGTCGGTTATCAGATAAGAATAAATCCTCTCCTTGAGCCTTTAGTAACGTTGAGTAATATTGCTCATGATAACAAACAATTTATATGTAATGTGAATGAACAGCTTGTGCCACCAAAATTTTACGATATCACTGGTTATAAAGATGCACTCGTGTTTGAGTTTTATAAGCGCTTTTCATTCAA